GGCCTAAGTCAGTGGAGCTCTTTGTAGACGACCCTGATTACGTGACTGTTACTTAACTATAATTGTACTTTGATATCAACTGAAACGACCCTATTAGGTGGTCATCACTGTAATTAACTTTAGTATTCTTATCCTTTATGAAACCTCTAAGAAACTTGAGGAATTTTTTTTTAAAATTCTATATAGAATGTTGTAGTATTTTTTTAAAAAATAAAATGCTATAACAAATGTTGTAACATTCTGAATATAAGTTTCTTTCTCCCAAAATGCTATATCATAATAACATAAAATTCTGACTTTCCTTTTTAAAAATATTAAAATGTTATTCTTAAAACAATTCCTTTTTCTAAAGCATAAATATATACATATGTATATATTTACTTCTTAAATCCTGCTTACTTATATAAACTTAATAAACATAGTACAAACTTGCTACATATAATGTCAAAGTCTCACTTAACAAAATTATTTAACACTTTAAACTGATGCGAAAATAACTGTGTGTGGTATCCATTCCCTAATCTCCACTCGTCTGCCGCTTGCCACTGCCCGTCAAGAATTACTGATAGACTTTTTACCTACAGTATGAATATATCTGAATGAGCTTTCGCTCAGCAAGCAGGAACTATCTCTCGCAAAACAACTGTAAGTTCACATGAATACATATGCATGAACTAATTATGCTTAATTATGATGTTTTATCATAATTTTATTATATGATCTTATCTTACTCACTGATGGGCCCGAGTGCTCGTACCATTATGTGCGATATACGGGACGTGATGGTTCATAAGGCCCCATCGATTCTCTTAGTAAAACTGAACTGAATGCCTCACTTGGGCCAGAGTACCTCTAATCTTGGAGGCTTTGAATTACCTCTCATCTAGGAGGTTTTGAAACTGTAATACCTCTCATCTAAGAGGCTCTGAAACTGGATTACCTCTCAACTAAAAGGTTGGTACGACACTCAACTAAGATTATGCTTATAAGTTCCTCTTGACTTATTAAGATGTATGCAGTATGACATAATATAGCATACTATAATATGAAATATACTCAAACATATATAATTCATGTGTACTGTTTATTTTAAAATCTATTCATACTATAGGCGAGATTCCTACTTACATGTTTTAGGAAGTTGAATCCTCTATTCGCCAAAGAGTATGTTCTCTTTCTTTCTTATTTATGAGAATGAACACCCACTAAGAGTGTGAGATTAACTATCACTTGCTATTCTATTTTAGCAAGCATATAAGAAAATCTGATTTCTCTACTTATGGCTTTCTTTCTCTTTCCTACCTTAGAGGATTGAAAAACCTTGTTTCAAACTTAAAGATTAGGTTTATTGGATATTTTTCCATTAAACAAGGTCCAAACTCAAAATACATTCTTGAGATTATACTTCGAGTTCCTTAATGAACTTTCTATTTAACACTGAAACTGTTTTATTAGTTTTGCGGTGTTTTCTAAAAAACTAGTTTAAAGCTTCTATTTAGAACTAAAACTAAGTTTTAACTTCAAATTCTCAAACTAAAATCCGGCAGAGTTTTGCCTTATTTTTCTGTGTTTTCTGAGCTATTCTTAACTCGTTTTATCCATTAATCCAACTCTTAGACATAACCCACAATCTTTATCATATAATCTTATCATCTTAAAAACCATACTCTAGGGTTTCATCCAAATTCTCATAAGGATTTTCATATCCAAAAGTTGCTAGAAACATAATCTAACAACCAAAAATTCAACCTCTAATCACTAAGTTTTCAATTCCTTTATCAACTGAAATTCAATCATCAACTTAGCAAACTTTCTCCATACTCTTTTCCACATCCAAACCATTCGGCCAAGGTAAGAAAAAGGAGAGGAAAAACTAAAATCTCACCTTAAAGGAATGAATAACAAACTCTGGAGTCACTAATCATCGGTAGTTCAATCGATTTCTGCTAAAAACTCACTTTTCTTCACTTTTGGTAAATTTTTTTCTCCTCTCTCTTGGATGAACACTCACTGGTTTTTGGCATGAAAAAGAGAGTGTTTTATCATGTTTTTACACTTAAAACACGTTGGAGGAAGAAAAGGAGGCGATTAAGAGCAATTTTCCAACTTTTAGGGTCATTTTTGTAAAAAGCTACTAAAAATATCTCTTATTGGCTTCTTGTGCAAGCTTTGCCGGCCACCTCACTAAGCAAATGACATGATCTCAGCCCTCCATCCAAAAAGTCACTTTAAATCTCAACCATCCATATTTAATAGTTATCTATTTTCCAGTTCAGCTTAATTCTTAACCGGTACGCATTTTATCTGCGTTTTCTGGACAGTTGGTCAACTTTATTCAACATTGACTAACTTTTCAAGTATGATCTATTAGTTGACTCTTTGGTCAATAATATTTCAACTCGGTCAACCCCATTTAGTCGAAAATCCTAATTTTCTCGGTTCGACATTCTGGACCCATTTTTTGTCTGTTTTTCATTCTTCTTATTGTTTCTAAAACCCTAGAATTGATGTCTTTCAATTCTTTTTCACTTCTTAACCTTAATATTCATGTGTTGGCCCATTTGTCGGTTCAACACAACATTCTGCACTTCTTTTCTTATTGCAGTCTGAAAATCGGCAACTGTATCATACTTCACTCAAACTCTTAATTACTTACTTGATGTCATCTTGCTGACATAAGTAAAGGATGATAGATGATTTGATTTTATCCGTTAGGTGCTCTTATCTCATTGGCCGGCTACACTTATCCAATCGTTAATCGTCATTTGGCCATTTACGTGTCCGGCCGTAATTGGAGAAGAAAAAGAGAAGATTCCCAAATTTCTTATCTACAATGGTTGTTGATCAACATTTGTCCCCCTCATAAATACAAGCTCATCATTACTTCCTTAAGCTTATCTCTTAAGGTTCTCTATAAAGTAGTCAAGATTTATATCGATTGTAGGGAATTAGCTTAGCTGATAGGAAATTTTTGTTTCCGACAGTTCCTTTTCTGTTGTTTATTTATAGTATGATACTAATCCCCGAATAATTCAAGATCGAACTAAGCTCTTAATACTGTAATATTTTAGATTGTTCTAGTTTTGAAAACATTTATAGACTGCATAAATTTTAATCTTAACTTTTTCTGCACTATATCCTAGGAATGACATCATTTTTAACAATATCAACTCCTGAGCCCATACTGTATCTTTATCTTTCTACTAAAAGCTTTACCTTTATAATTTTCCTTATATGTTTAGAAATTAAGGGTTTTCTCTTTGAATGTCAGAGCGCTTCTCTATACGCTGCTAACATTGTACTGTACTGGGAGATTAATGAGATTAAATTCTCAAACTATATATGCACTGAGAATTCTTTCACCTTAATTGCGGTAAGAACTTATCGACTGAATTTACTTGCTCGTAATTTTATGAATTAATCATAAAATTTGCTACAGAATTTAGGAATACTTATATTAATTCCATAAATCCTTCATGCACAAAATATGACCTGAAATTCTCAGAGAAAATTCATTGACTTAAATAAATAAATTTACATTATTTAATTCTAGGGTTTTCTCAGTCATTACACTCCTGACCTCCTTGATAAGTTTGATTTTCGAAGCTACCTCGTATGATTCCAATTTCAATTCGAAGACGGTCTTTTCAAGTTTCTTCTCCTCCTTGGTTGCAGTTGTTGCTTTCGTTGCCAACGCCATTCCAGCTAAGCCAACATCTCCTAGTTTCATAACTCCGACACCTAGTGGTTCCGTCATGCTCCCTTTTTCCAACTTCAGCTAGTGTAAGTCCTGATATTTCATCAACAAGCCTGAAAACACGCTCAATTAGAGAACTGCGATGCTCAGAAGGCTCAAAAGAAATTTTCATAAATATCAACCAAAAATCACAATAGCATCAAAATGGCACCTAGCTCAGCAACTTCAGTTAGTGTAAGTCCTGATATTTCATCAACAAGCTTGAAAACACGCTCAGTTGGAGGACTGCGATGCTCAAAAGCAATTTTCATAAATATCAACCAAAAATCACAATAGCAATTTTGAACAATCAAACAAATTCCCACTTTCGACTTTCTTGAGTTTCAACCTTTACTCAACTTCCATTACTTCAACTTCCAGCAAATTCAATTCAATGCAGTTGTCAAGAGAGAATATGAGCAAAATTCAGTGTTGATAATCGAATAAATATAAATGAAGTATGTTAATCTTTCAAAACGTACAACAGAATAAATCAAACTCAAGCAACGGAATAAATCGAACTCAATCAATCAACTTAAGTGGCTTGATTTACCCTAAAATCGAACTTTCCGGAAAAAAAAATCAAAAGGCCCAAAAACGTACTTTGATAGTGATGTCAATAGGGAGAACTCAGGCAAGGGAATTGTGCTTGGAGGCGCGCTTCCTGGCGGAGCGCTTGGCAGCCTTGAGAAGAGCGGAACCTAATTTGAGGACGCGATCGATAAGGAGTGCCTGATCGGAGTCGGAAGCAGAGGAGTCGAGAAGGCGGTCAAAGGAGAGGTCGACGGAGAGATAAGAGGAATCGGAGTGGCGAAGAAGAGAGTGCAAGAGGTGCTTGATGTCGGAGTGGTTGGGATTGGGGATTCTAGGGTTTCGGAGAGCACATAAGAGAACGGGTGAGAGAGAGATATTGATAAGTCTGAAAAATGATGGGTAAGATGGTGAATTTCAGATTTCACCAGGAATATATTGGGTAATAGGAAATTTTCATTAATGGGCAGCAAGTGATTCCGGCATAAGTTAAAATCTAAAGTTTTTTTTTAACTGATTCTAATTTTAACTTCAAATTCTTCAAAAATTCTTCTAAAAATCTATTTTTATGAAGTTTACGGAAACACAGTTAACTGCTTTAGATGGCTAAATAATTGTTTTTGACCTCCAAAAATCAATACAAGACACGCTTAAACTAATAGGACTCATTTTTTACCACGGAAGATACACGTTATGATTTTTTTTGTTATAAAAAAAAACTGATCTACTTTCTCAATTTGTGTTTTGCTCGGGTCTCTTTTAACTAGCGAGAGCTTAGCGGCTAAATCTCAATACAAGGCACGCTCACGCCTCATTTATCCGACATTTGAATCTCCCACACTCCGCGGACTCCCCCCACGAAAATGAAAGAAGGAAAAATCCTCTGCTAGGGTTTCGTCTCCGATCACCCACAGAACCTTTTTCTGACGCCTTCGCCGGACCTAGGGTTTCGGAATTCCCCTTCCGGCAGATATGGAGGACGACCACGAATATGATCAGCAGTACAATGACGACGACGACGACGACGAGGAAATCACTCAGGAAGACGCCTGGGCCGTCATCTCCGCCTACTTCGAAGAGAAGGGCCTGGTCCGCCAACAGCTTGACTCCTTCGACGAGTTCATTCAGAACACTATGCAGGAGATCGTCGACGAGTCCGCCGACATCGAGATTCGCCCTGAGTCCCAGCACAACCCCGGCCACCAGTCGGATTTCGTCGAGGTCTGTTTGTTTGTCGAGAAAATTCAAATTGCCGCAGACTTTAGGGTTGTATTGATTTTTCATTTCTAAACCGTGTTTAGAAATTGACTCGATTTTGCAGACAATCTATAAAATTAGCTTTGGTCAGATTTACCTGAGTAAGCCGATGATGACGGAGTCCGACGGAGAAACGGCGACACTGTTCCCCAAGGCTGCGCGGTTGAGGAACCTTACGTACTCGGCCCCTTTGTACGTTGATGTCACGAAGAGAGTCATAAAGAAAGGGCATGACGGTGAGGAAGTGACCGAGACTCAGGACTTCACCAAAGTTTTCATTGGAAAGGTTCCTATAATGCTTCGGTCGAGTTACTGCACGCTGTACCAGAATTCGGAGAAGGATTTGACGGAGCTTGGGGAGTGTCCGTACGATCAAGGTGGATATTTCATTATCAATGGAAGTGAAAAGGTTCTAATCGCTCAAGAGAAGATGAGTACCAATCACGTGTATGTGTTCAAGAAGAGGCAGCCTAACAAGTACGCCTATGTGGCGGAAGTTCGGTCCATGGCCGAGTCCCAAAACAGGCCGCCGAGCACCATGTTTGTGCGGATGTTATCAAGGACTAGTTCCAAAGGGGTAATAGGATTATGAGTGCCATTTTGGGGTTGATTTTCCGTGAGAATTCATTTCATTTCTTTGTTATTAACCATGTCTAGAATTCTCGTTATAAGTCTTGTTTACCCTTTTGCAGGGTTCTTCTGGGCAGTATATCCGTGCCACTCTTCCATATATTCGGGCTGAAATACCTATTATTATTGTCTTCCGTGCATTGGGTTTTGTTGCTGATAAAGATATATTAGAGCACATATGTTATGACTTCTCTGATACTCAAATGATGGAGTTGCTACGACCTTCACTTGAAGAAGCATTTGTGATTCAAAATCAGCAGGTATTGCTTCTTCTTCTTTTTTTCCCCTCTTCCTTTATTTTTCTTTACTTCCTTTTCCAGTTTCGTTTTGAAGTATTTGGCCGCAAATTCTTGTGACATGGTTTGATATTGTCTCATACTCTACAGGTTGCGCTGGATTACATTGGGAAAAGAGGAGCTACTGTTGGTGTAACTAAGGAAAAGAGGATTAAGTACGTACTGTCTTGGGACTTCTTTTAAGTCTCAAGATTTTAGCTGAACTTATGTGGTGCTGATAGAAATTATTTGTGCAACCTCATAACAGGTATGCCAAAGAAATACTTCAAAAGGAAATGCTTCCTCACGTTGGTACGGGAGAATTTTGTGAGACAAAAAAGGCTTACTATTTTGGGTAGGTGTTTTTTCCCCTTCCTTCTTCCCCTGCTTGATACGCATTTTTGGCGACTTCTGAAATGTTTAATAAATTTGTTGGTGCTTATGCTAGATATATCATTCATCGGCTTTTACTATGTGCACTTGGTCGGAGAGCCGAAGATGATAGAGATCATTACGGCAACAAGAGGCTGGACCTTGCTGGTCCTTTACTTGGGGGCTTGTTTAGAATGGTTTGTTTTTATTTATTTTTTCTTCGTCCTTTTTGTGGAATCCAAAGGTGACGTGAAGCTGAAGTTGTTGAATGATGTGATTGTTAATTTTTTTTATTGCAGCTTTTCAGGAAGTTAACAAGGGATGTCAGAGGTTATGTGCAGAAGGTTGCTAATTGAAAATCTTTATTCTTTTTCTTCCCCCGGTTAAGTTGCTATAGTGCTTTTACCTACCTACATATTTTATGCATGATCCAGTGCGTGGATAACGGGAAGGATGTTAATCTTCAATTTGCCATTAAAGCAAAAACCATTACCAGTGGTCTCAAGTATTCACTTGCTACTGGAAATTGGGGGCAAGCAAATGCAGCTGGTACAAGAGCTGGAGTGTCACAGGTTCGTGTAGTCATAATTTGTTTTTCTCTTGATAGTATGAAGCTTTTCATTTCTTGATTCTGCAATTTTATGTCCAAGTGCCCTCGTGGCTTTGGATAGGTGCCTTTAGATTTGTCTGCAGACATTAGTTTAGTTTAAAAAAATTTTAAAAAAAAAATCCTGTAGTTGAAACTTCAAGTTTGCATATAATGAGATAGTGATACGCTACTTGTATATTTATTTTTTCCATCGTGTATTCATTTATTTTTTCCACAGGTGTTAAATCGCTTAACATATGCCTCTACCTTGTCACATTTGCGGAGGCTAAATTCTCCCATTGGCCGTGAAGGTGAATTACTTGTATATGTAATTATGTATTTGTTGTTAATTTAATATTCTGAAAACTTGTAATTAAATTCCTTTTGGTCATCCTTAATTTCTTATAATTTTCATGCTACTACTTTTGCGTGTCATTGCTATACTTGACAATTGAAGTTGCCATTTTCAGGAAAATTGGCCAAACCACGACAATTACACAATTCCCAATGGGGAATGATGTGTCCAGCTGAAACACCTGAAGGACAAGTGAGTATACTGCGAACTGACCGATAATCTTAGTGGCCTTTTGGAACCATCTCTTTTAGGCGGCACCTCTAAATTTGATTTCATTGTTCCAGGCATGTGGACTGGTGAAGAATCTTGCATTAATGGTATACATAACAGTTGGATCCGCCGCGTATCCTATTCTGGAATTTTTGGAAGAATGGGGAACAGAAAATTTTGAGGTTTGTTTTTTCAGTTATGTTTGAAAGATGTTGTCTTGAGTCTTGACTCGTGCTTTTCTTCTAATTTTTATTATTTTTATTTTTCATGTTGATTGTAGGAAATTTCCCCTGCCGTTATTCCCCAAGCCACAAAAATTTTTGTTAATGGTTGTTGGGTTGGTATACATCGTGATCCTGATATGTTGGTGAAAACATTACGGCGGCTGAGACGACGGGTGAGTCTGATTCATTTGTTTGTATAAATAAACATTGCGCCAAAAGCATATCATGCAATGTACTTTTTATAAGAATCATGACAAGTTTTTTTCTCCTTTTTTCTTCTTTGGTGCTGTAATAAGTACTAACAACCATGACAAGTTATTAGATGGAGTAATTGTATACTGGAGATTTATTGTACTGCATGATGTCTGTTTCTTTCATCAATACTATATAAGGTAGTCCTTATGCTTCTTTCTTGAATTTTCATTTTGACTCGTGTCTCCTAAGTGCTTTGTTTAGAAAAATTTGGCCAGTGACATTTTACATTTTAAACTTTGCTTTTACTTGCTATTAGATCAGTTTCTTGTAGATGAATCATGGAGGTTGTTTAAATGTGGTATGTTGTATCTTTTCTTCTTTCGGGATCTCTGGTCATCCTGATTTTTTTTTTAAACCTCTTTCTAGTAAAATCGTCTATGTTTCTTATCCAAAAGAAAAATTGTCTAGCATATAATAATATTATTGTTGATGGTAGATACTGTTTTAAAAGAAGAGAGCTTAGCTAGAAATAGCCCTTAGTAGACTTTCCCTAAGTCTCTTTTTATAAGTTCCAAGTACCGCCTCAAGTAGAAGATTAGGAAGTAAATTAAGTAGATGGATTGATTTCTGGATATATATTATTTTCAACAGAAGCAAGTACGGTGACACTGCGTTGGCCTTCTTTTGACAAATTTAGATTGACATTGGAATGCTTGTTTAAGTTCTTACATTCTTGTTACACTTCCTGATAACTTATCAGCTGATATGTGCTGAATTAATTCCTGTTGGCATGATTGTTTGTAGAAGTTATCCTACATCATTTTCCCACATGATTGGTCATATATTTGTTCAATATGCAGTTGCTTAAAATATTGTTATCATACATTTTAGATAGATGATAATGTGTCTTTCCTTGGCACAGGTTGATGTTAATACTGAGGTTGGGGTGGTTAGAGATATCCGTTTGAAAGAACTACGGATATATACTGATTATGGCAGATGTAGTCGTCCATTGTTCATTGTGGAGAAACAAAGGCTTCTCATAAAGAAAAGAGATATTCGTGCACTACAACAGAGGGTCAGCTAACTAAAGTTTCTGTATATAGTTGTCTCTCAAGTTTTGACTAGTAGTTATTGTTCTTTACACTGTCATACTTTCTTCTGTATTGCAGGAGACTCCGGAAGAGGCTGGTTGGCATGATCTTGTATCCAACGGGTTCATAGAATATATTGACACGGAAGAAGAGGAGACCACTATGATTTCTATGACTATTAATGTGAGTTGAACGGTTCTACTTAATCAAAATTCACAATGATAAATTAAATAATTCACTCATTAAGATGCCAATGTTATAATATTTCGAATGCTAATTTCTTAAACCAGGATCTTGTACAAGCAAGGCTCAACCCAGAGGAAGCATATTCTGAAACGTACACTCACTGTGAAATTCATCCATCATTAATTCTGGGTGTCTGTGCTTCTATTATACCATTTCCGGATCATAATCAAGTAAGTTGATGCATTAGGTGTTCAACTTTCCTGTTCAAACTGTTTTGACGATTGTTAGTCTAATAAAGTTGCTGTTCTTTTGATTAGTCTCCAAGAAATACATATCAATCTGCTATGGGTAAGCAAGCCATGGGAATTTATGTTACCAACTACCAGTTTAGAATGGTATGTTTATGCATGCCTTTTTCTTTTGCTAAATTGGATTGACGAATATGTGATTCCCCGCCATCTTAATTAATAATGCGTGTCTTGCATTTATGGTTGCTATTTGCTTATCTCAGGATACATTGGCCTATGTTCTCTACTACCCTCAAAAGCCTCTTGTTACTACACGTGCCATGGAACATCTCCACTTCAGACAGCTTCCTGCAGGCATTGTAAGTACTTTGTTTTTTCTTTCGTATTTCTCCTCTTTGATAATGATTCTTAATAAACTTTTTTTTTTCTCCTGCTTTAGAATGCCATTGTTGCAATTGCCTGCTATTCTGGGTATAATCAGGAAGATTCTGTCATTATGAATCAGTCTGCTATAGACCGTGGATTTTTCCGATCACTTTTCTTCCGCTCCTATAGGTAAGCTTATATTTAAAGTCTTCTGCATATTTTTCCTTTTGTTGTTCTGTTGAGCTTACACTCGTAGATGTATCATTAATTACTCTTTTGTGACAGAGATGAGGAGAAAAAGATGGGGACACTTGTCAAAGAGGACTTTGGTCGTCCAGATAGATCAAACACTATGGTGAGGACTGTGATTTATATTTTGTATGCATTTTGCAGTTTTCAAGTGCGTTGAAAGCCTTTATGTAAGTCTTATACCACAGGGTATGCGGCATGGTTCTTATGATAAATTGGACGACGATGGTCTTGCACCTCCTGTAAGTATTCCTGATCTCTGGAACTTCTTTTTCCTTTTCTTTTCTTTTTTTCCTTTTTTTTCCTTGTATTACCAGTCTTAAAAGAATTGTCAGTCTGACCTGTTTTTTTTATTAAATTGTATGACAGGGAACTAGGGTTTCAGGGGAGGATGTTATCATTGGAAAGACTACTCCCATTGCTCAGGACGAAGCTCAAGGGCAAGCTGCTTCACGTTACACCCGACGTGATCATAGCATAAGCTTACGCCACAGTGAAAATGGGATTGTGGATCAAGTAAGCTTTAATCAAAATAATTCTACGTTATGTTTTTGGATTTGTCTTGATTTATGTCGAGCAGTGAAGCGCTAAATGCTTGTATGATCTGTTCTTGTAGAGTTGTAGTCATTAAATTATGTCAATGGATTTTTCCTTGTAATTGCAAAATTTGGTTCTTTATTAATTTATTGAAACCTCTCCCCATGCTTAAAACTTAATTGTTGTGCACCTGTGTATTGTTCTTCTGATAATCTCAGATTCCTTTTAGGTTCTGCTGACAACAAATGCTGATGGGTTGAGGTTTGTAAAAGTGCGAGTGAGATCCATTAGAATACCTCAAATTGGGGATAAGTTCAGTAGTCGACATGGTCAGAAGGGAACAGTTGGGATGACTTACACTCAAGAAGACATGCCATGGACTGTAGAAGGAATTACTCCTGATATTATCGTCAACCCACATGCTATTCCTTCTCGAATGACAATCGGTCAGCTTATTGAGTGTATCATGGGCAAAGTTGCTGCTCATATGGGAAAGGAAGGAGATGCAACTCCTTTCACGGATGTTACTGTGAGTTAATGTTCTCTTTAAAACTTGTATGCTGAAGCATTGTTTTCGAGATTCCAATTACGTTTTGCTAGATTTATATACTTATTGATTCTGAAGGAAAAACAAAGAAGCTTGCTTATATACGCATGCCACCTGATTAAACGTTTTTTCAACTGCCAAACAACATATATTGATCAAATTTATTTAAAATGTTTTGAAATGACAATCTGGTCTATTAGAGCAGCATTAACCTTCTTTTCTGGGTCTTAAATCATATAGAAAGTGGTAAATGCAATTTGAATTGTACATTTTTTTTTTCAATGGTAAGTTATTGTTGCTCATCTTTCCCGTGGCATACAGAGCCTAATAGGATTTAAGTTTCTCTTTTCTTTTATTTATGACGTGATACTGAATTATGTTTTCTTTTTTTCTTTTTTTTAGTTCACTTATATGAGTCTGAACTCTCTCTCTCTCTCTCTCTCACAGGTGGATAATATTAGCAAAGCACTTCATAAATGTGGCTATCAAATGCGTGGATTTGAGACCATGTACAATGGCCATACTGGCCGGCGGCTTACTGCTATGATATTCCTTGGACCAACTTATTACCAAAGATTGAAGCACATGGTGGACGACAAGATCCATTCACGTGGGAGAGGTCCTGTGCAGATCCTGACAAGGCAGCCAGCCGAGGGACGGTCTCGTGATGGAGGTCTTCGCTTTGGAGAAATGGAACGCGATTGTATGATTGCTCACGGTGCTGCTCACTTTCTGAAAGAGAGATTGTTTGATCAGAGTGATGCGTATAGAGTTCACGTCTGTGAGCGTTGTGGACTGATAGCGATTGCAAATCTTAAGAAGAATTCTTTCGAGTGCCGAGGTTGCAAGAACAAAACCGACATTGTACAGGTGAAACTTTGTTTCATTTTATTTTTCCTTAATTTGCCTCCTCTCCTGTGAGCATTTTACGATAGTACTTCCACATGCAGGTTCACATACCATATGCCTGTAAGCTGCTCTTCCAGGAGCTTATGGCCATGGCTATAGCACCAAGAATGCTGACCAAGGATGTCAAACCATTGAATGACCAAAAGAAGAAAGGAGCCTAAGAATAACCGGCTTGACTCAGCTTTATTTTCCTTTCATCGTTGTGAAAAGCTGCAGCTAATTCGGGAACAATACCTCGTTTATCAGATAACGGAAATTAGGGATGTAAAGTGGACCGGGGAGGGCAGGAATTCCCCCATGGAGCGGAGCATTGGCAAAAACTGCCGCGACCCACTTCCCTATTCCGCTCTTTTAAAAAAAAAAAAAAAAAAAAAAAAAAAAAAACCCCCCCCCGACTGTTTGAAATTTTGTTTGATTCCTGTTTTCCTTTAAATAGATGTATTTTTGCCTTTTTAGGAAAAAAATAATAGAAATTATATTTCTTGTGTTCAAATATTTGTGATTAGTATTTTTGGTTTTATTTTTCTAAATTTTAAAACAGAGGAGTATAAACGACATTTTATATTTTAGAAAATCTTTTACAAGTGAGCAATTTTTTTTTTTTTAATAATACAAACGAGTGATATGTTCACAACAATTACGGAGAACACGATGCCAAAAATGACCTTTTAAATTTCAATTTAAGAAATTTTACACGTTTTTTTTTAACTTATTTTCCTCCCAATATTTTGCGGCCCCAACCGCGGTCCAAATATCTATTTTGACTATAGTTTCGGCCTGGAGATCCACTTGGGTCCCAAATCAGAATTAGATTCATGTTAATAATTTGTAAAGAATGATTATATTTACACTCATTAAATTCATTAATGTGCCCATCAAACTATAGTTTATGTTTATTTTTAGTTATCCTCTATTGAATTACATTGAAACTTACTAATATATCCCTACATCAATTATAAACAGAAATAATATTCTTTTTAAAAGAAATAAAAAAAAGACCCACGCTAACTTTAATTAGAAAGAATTTTTCAAAGAAATAAACAACATAATACTATTTACTTGAAGGGTAGTTCTATTCACACCCCTTTTTTTTGCTCTCCACACCCTTATTCTAAATACATACTCCACATAATTTTAAAAGAACAAAATATATTTTTTATACACCCCATCATTCCAAGATTACCCTTAACAATTTTTATAAAAGAACTAATTCTTATCCACTTCAATTTTCTTCACACCTACCATTTTTTTTAGTTTTTTATTTAAATAGTATTATTTCTCTATCCCTTCATATATTTTTTTGTTCTTTTTGTTGAAGTTTTGGGTGTGAAGCCTTTTTTCACAAAAAAAACAAAAAAACAAAAAAACAAAAACAAATTGAGGATGAAACGTGAAAAAAAAAAAAAATCAAAGCAGCTTTATAAAAAACGAAATAAAAAACAAATAAAATGATTAGTCTTTTAAAAAAAATCAGAAAAATTATAAACATGTAATGAAAAAAGAAAGACAAAATAAAAATCGCCCTACAACCAATTTTAACATTATACCAATGTAACTTTTCAAAATAGTCATTGAAAGGTGAAAATTAGAGGTGATTTATAAATTTTAAAATAGCAATAGTTTATAATTTAGAATATAACATGTGGGGTGTGTAGAGAAAGATAAAAACTATAAAATTAATTTTTTTAAATTAAATTTAAGTTCATAATTAAATATGTCATAATTGGTCTTTTTGTCATTGTATGTGAGAATCTTTTTGTCATAAGAAAGTTTAGGTAAAAAGGGGTGCAGAGAGAAAAAAAAATGTGTGTGAATAGAACCACCCTTGAATAAATGAATACATTATTTACAAATTTACTATTTACTTGTTAAATAAATTTTCTTTTTACTAATTTATTTACTTAGTAAATGAATTATTTGTCAATTTTGATACATAGTAAATACATCATTTTTCTAATATTTACTGAGAAATAAATTTTAAAAATTAAATTATTAAAATTTTTTTTTTATAAAACACAGAAACAGAGCATAAGCCAAAAAACCACACAAAGGCCTTCAAGAAGAAACCTTGACTGTTACCAATTTATTTTTCCTAGTATTATCAATTTTTATATCTTGTAGATACCTTATTTCCATAGATTACCAATTTATTTTCCTAGTAAACACAATATTTACCAATTATTTCACTCCCTACATCATTTTTCTAATATTTACTAAGAAATAAATTTAGAAAATTCATTATTTACTTTTTTTTTATATAAAACACAAGCACAACACAAGCCAAAACCACAAAGGCCTTTAAGAAGAAACCTGGACTCTTACCAATTTATTTCCCTATATTATTAATTTTTATATCTTGTAGATACCTTATTTCCCTAGATTATCAATTTATTTACCTAGTAAACACATTGTTTATAAACATTGTCAACATAATATTTACCGATTATTTCACTCCGATAAATATATTTGGGGATTACCGGTTTAGTATATAATTTATCATAATTTTGTATAGACATAGTATTTATGTCATCTTAAATAATTGAGCGTCATAATTACCTTTTATTTTTTTATTAATTAAATTATAATTGTTTATTTTTTAATTGAGTGGTATATAAATAATATTTTTTACAATCACATTTTTAGTTTTTTTCCCTTTCTTTCCTCACACGGCTAGGATTTGGATCTATCGGAACCCAATCTTCATGTTTCTTAACACGGAACAAGTCCAGGACGCCTGTCTAGTTCAGGGTCAGTCCACACTCCACACACGTAATACGACATCGTTTAATAACATGTCCCATGTTTGATCGCTTGCATCCTGCAACTACAGAATCTCGCCGAGAGAGAGAGAGAGAATGGAACTGGAAAGCAAGGCCAAGGAAGAAGTGGAAGTGGAAGTGAAAGTGGAAGAAGTTGAAGAAGACGAAGGGCCACCGCCTGGCTACCAAACCATTCTTCCTCCGCTGCAACCACCATCACCACCACCACCACAACCATCATCGTCTCCGCCGAAAGAAGCTCCAGAGCCAATGCTAACACCATCGACAGATTCAACTCCAACGTTAACACCAACGCATACACCCACACCAACACCAAAATCAACTCTTTCCGGTGGGTCCCCCTTTTTCTCTATTCTCAACAGTCCTGATGAGTTGGTTAGCCGCTATGGCTTCTCCTAAATTTTCAAAATTATATGCCTTTTGGGTTTTCTCGAATTTGTTGTTTCCTCTTTTTCCATGGCCTTTTCTAAGGAAAGTTCTTAGTTTCATAAAAGAAAAGAAAAGGAATTGAAAATACTTTTGAGTTTACCCAAAAAAGCAAAATGCAGGACTCTCAATCACGGCTAACTACATAAACATTAATAAGTGGATTGATCAAAAAGGGAGCTTTTTGTAGTATAAGATAGGCATTTAGGCATACACACGGTCGATTTTATGTGTTTCTGTGAAGATTTGGAATTGGATGAATCATTACATACCAAGAATGCACGATATTGCTGCAAAATATGCTGGAACATGTATTCATCAAGTGAGCTTTGTGATTGTAATGCAGAAATAGCTCAAATTGTGTGCGGTTCTTGCCGCCGTCTGCTCAAGTATCCGCCGGGGTCTCAGCAGGTTCAGTGTTCATGCTGTCAGACTGTGAACTTTGTGCTAGAAGGTTCTCCTCTCTTGCTTTCCTAGTAACTCATGGGTTGTGTTTGTTGTACCAAGTAAAACTACAAGAGGGAGGTGAATTGGGTTTCAAAATATTTTTGAAAATTTTGACAATTATTGAGAAATTAGAGCAAATAATGAAAGTTAACTTAACACGGTAATTTTGTCGAACACTTAGTATGCACAAAAAGATACGTGTTAATGGAACACAACAAGCTCAACAAATCAAATATCAAGAGTCAAATTAACCAAGATATATCAATCCCAAAAATTAAATTAAGAAAATTAAAGAGTTAGGGTCAAGTGAATGCAAACGAAATTTTATAGTGGTTCGACAAATTAATATGCCTATATCCACTGTTACTGAGATATACCGCCTCCCGACCTCTTCTATTATTCGATCGACTTTTCAGCTCCAATCACTCCTCTTACAAAATGACGAATCTTCCTACCCGAGGCTTATCGTACCTCTTACAAGACGTCAATTTTTCACAGAGATAGACCAACCAAACAATTCCCAATTCCCAAAGTAATAGAAGATTTAAATAAGGATTACAAGATATTTGACAAGTAAAACACTTAAGCTCACACTCCTAAAAAGGTTTTATACAAGGAAAATGACTAGGAGATGATGAGGTCACACTATCAAAAGAAAATTCAAGCTACACTCAAGAGTGTGTAAGAAAACTAAGAAAGAATCTAGAGAAGAGAATGATTATGTAAGCACTTTTAAGAAATTTTTTGGATCTTAAGAAATTTAGGAGTTCTCGATGATGTTTCTTACACATTTTGGACCTCAAAAGGGTCTTAAATAGGAGAGAACATGGCATTTTGCCTATTTAGGCTCGCTGTCCAACGGTCATATTTTTGCCCGTTGAACAGTACCGGTCGAATAGAGCAGTTGACCGGTTGAGGCCTATTGTGAATCTACCGGTCGACCGGTGGATTTAGTGTTGTTATGCACCGATCGACCCATGTCGTCATGTTGCTACAAATATTTACCTCCAAGCTTTTTAAAACTCATTTTTAAACCAAATAATTTAGGAAAATAATTTAAATCCATTTGTAAAACCAAAGTGAGTGTGTGCAAGAGCCTAAACCAAGATTTAACAATTTGATAGTGTGAAATCAAAATCAAATGCAAGACTTAAATAAAATAAAATGGAATAAACCTATCAAAATAGTCTTGCTTGATTTTGCTTGCCTTCACTTTTGATTTTCCTTCAACTCTTCAAGCTTTTTGATTCCTTCTTCAATTTGGTTGCATTTCACAAGCTTAATTGACCATGTAACTTATTTTCTCCAATCTTGGTCAAGAGGTCAACTTATGCAATCTTCTTCTTGAGTCAACTTTTAATTAATAACAATTTGCTAAAAACATAACTCAAAAAAAAAAAAAAAAAAAGATTAATTAGAAAATCAAGAATGATGTGTTTGTTATCATCAAAACATGAAATTTATTAGACCTTGGGCCAACAGTGTTTCTGTTTTTTAGTAAAAAAAAAAAAAAAAAAGATTAATTAGTAAATCAAGAATGATGTGTTTGTTATCATCAAAACATGAAATTTATTAGACCTTGGGCCAACAGTGTTTCTGTTTTTTAGTTCTGTCTAATTTTCATCAAAACACTGTTCAGGCTTTTTACTAGGGAGAAAGGGGTTTTTGCTTCGTATATTTAGTACTCTGAAGCGTAGTGCTCGTGCACAAGTTATATTTTTTGTTCTCCTAATGTTGCAGCAAAACTGAATTTTCAATCATGGTCCTAACTCGCTCATAGGTAGGCATTGCCTAAAAGCTGATCTTTAGTAACTGAGGAGGTTAAACTACCTTTGTTGTTGCTATAGACACTTGATTACCTTATGGCCCGTCTTCGGGTCGTGTTGAAGCGAGCTTTGACTAGAATGTGGTTATGATTAGTAAGCTTGTCTTCGATATTCTTAATGTAGCCGTGTGCATGCATTATGAACTCTACTTCTTTTCAGCTCATCAGGTTGGTCAAGTGAAGTGCGGAAGTTGTAATGTGTTGTTGATGTACCCCTATGGAGCATCACAAGTGAAGTGTTCCTGTTGTCAATTTGTGACAGAAATCGGCGTAAGTGATATGATACCTCCGTGCTCTAGACATGATAGAAGTTACCTATTAAATTTCACTCTGCCCATGACCATCACGTATGTATAATGTATAGCAACTTTGTTTTTGCCGAAATACTCTTAAGAAATTCTAAAAAGTTGTCTTTGTATGATATTAGGTAATTACTGGTGTAATGAAATCATATAAAAGCATTTCGAAATGAGTTGGGATGTGAGATTCCAGTTAGTGCTATAAATGTTCAGGTCAACAAATTATCTTTTATATCTAGAACTGCTATTTGACTACCGGTCTCCGTACAGGCACACAACCAGCGTCCTCCATGGTCCGCACAGCAGGGCCAGCCACTTCCTGCCCTCAACCCTTTCCAGTCGACTGCCTGATTTCTTTTTTGTATCTGACAGAGGTATGGATGTTAATCTGGCAAAATTCAAACTCCTTGGTTTTACTTGTTTATAAGGTGTAACGAATTATGAATTAACGCGTACACATTACTTCTCTGGTTGTACATTGCCATACAGAAACAGTTCGACACTGTTCAACTCTAATTTGATTTTATGAGATTTTGCATGTTTTGCTCACAAGTTGCTATTTTGCCATTGGCTGATGTTGCTTTCACCGTTGTTTTGTTTCACTTCTCGTAAGATTAATCTAACTTTCATGAAAGAAGCTCAAGACCTTGAACTTACTGTGTTGACTGGATATGCCAAATGCATACATTTCAACCAACTATTTTAAAGAGGGATAGCTGAACTCAGATTACTGGGTGCTTATATTTGTCATCTTTGAATTCACTGTACTAACTCGTACACAATCAAGATTTAAAATTTCCCTCCAGAAGAGGTTCTGCGGATCAAAGACTAATGAGACGTTTGGTTTATAGATTAAAATCATGTGATTAGAACCATTTTTGATTTACGTGTATTTTTTATGAGTGAAAATACTGTAGCGAACCACGAACCATGATTCGAATTAGGGAACGAATCCCCCAACCAAACAACTTCTAAATTATTTTTGGCCCCTGCATAGTGTAGCAATTAGGCACTATATCTACCATATCTACCTATTACAATATCCACAAAAGACAGACGATAAGCACTAACCCGATCTGGTCTGCAGCTAGCTACTGAGAAATTGAGACAGAAAATCTCTCCTCTGATGATTATATAAAAGGTCATTTGCAGTGTCTATTTGGGTAGAACCGCAAATGGAAAATTAACCGTGCCACAATTATAGACAAATTCTAGTTTGCTACACTTCTGGAATGACAATAAAAGGATGGTCAGCTAGAGTCCGGATGAAGAAGTTATTCATAGTTTGCTGAACTGCCCTTTAAGGCAAATGTTCAATCATCAGGTGGGAAGTCCTCATCTGATCCATTGTCTAGAAATGAACCCAGAGTTTTCCTCAAAATGCTGAAAGTTTTTTCATCCTAAGAAGTCCAAAGAGAAATGTGAATTAGATTTCATTATTGGTAATAGAGCTACTGAGATTCAGGAAACCTGATGTAACTGATAAACATACTTGCGTCTTCTTCTTCAAAGTCTCCTCCAATTGAGCAATCTTATCAGCGCAAACTTTCTCATGTTCTGATATCACTCTCTTTTCTTTCTTCCCTGATATCAACCCATAACAAGAATATTACAATATCGTTTTTCTAAAGGAGAAGGAAAGAGTCTTGTTGCTTACTCATTTGTTCATATCGTATGAACAGCCTTTCCTTTTCTTCTTCAAATTTGGAAATAGTATCTGCCAAACACAAAAGACCAGTTACTATGTAGTTTTGCATATCATGTTGGTAACTCAGAAACTAGACTATGGAACGAAATCGGAAGGGAACTATCGCATATCATAAAATTCAAACAGTTGCAGGAACAAAATTAAACAAATGAATCGTTACTACAAGTTAAGAACAAGTGGCGTTACATGATAAACAGCCATCATATTGCCACAGCAGTTGAATTAAGCAGATTTGAGAAAAAGAATCCAATTGTCAAAAACAAATAAATACATAAAATTAGGATAGTTGGGACAAGGCAGAATACCTTTCAGAGTCTGCAGATTGGTAGCTTTTTCCTTGGAAAAGTTCTGATAAAGTGATTGGAACTTCACAGTTTCATTCTTCAAAGAGTTTTCGAACTGCACATATACAACCAGTCAAAATTCTAAACATATAATTTCAAATCAAAGGTAAAAAACTTGAAATTTTCATGTCCAGCTATCCATGTTAATCCTCTCATGTCCTCAGAGTCGAACCTCTTTTGAGCTCTTCGAAAGCACTTTAGCGAAAGTTTGTCTGACGACAGAAGAAAACGCAAGCATCTAATTAGTACATAGAATCAGCAGCATCTGATGAGAGCTTCAATTTTTATAGAACTTTTATTGATTAAATTAAAGAAAAAGTGATATACATGGCTCTTGATTTACCTATCCTTTTCAAACTTGGACTTCGATTCGTCTATCATAGACTTGATCTCAGCAGCCACACTGATTACCAAAACGAAATTAATCATTAATCATTGCATCACAGTTCAAAAAGTAAGGTAAATCATGATATATGAACGTTTCTTTCTTTACGTGCTACAAAAATTAGCGACGATTTGATGAAAACCAAAACCATACAAGTTGAAGTTGGCTTAGCAAATTAGTGTAATAGTATAGGCCGATCTCGATCAGCACTGTTGTTAATTAACCAACACTTTGACTAATTTCATGTTAAAAATCCAAAAGAAAACCAGGAATTCTGCACAAGTGGAAACTATAAGCAAAATTATGAATAACACAATCTCAATCTAATTATGCGTTCAGTTTTCCCGTTTCTTTGGTTAATAAAGCTACGCTAGAGTTTCAGCAATGGCTTCAAAATTCCGCAACTGTAAAACGAAGATTTGAGGAAAAGCAATTCGAATCACCTTGAAATAGTCTCCTCGTTCTTCTTCTGGCCGTCCTTCTGAGCCTTCTCTCTGATTTGCTGAAGCGCCGACACAATGCCTTTTATGTCGCTGCAAATTCCACCATCAAATTCTCAATCGCAGATCTCCATTGACGCATCAGGAGGAAACAGAAAACGATCAAAATCACGAAAAAGAAAAACGAAAAACGGAAATTGAATCGATATGAACTTGGAGAGATCGAGATCGAAGCCGAAATCCCGATCGAGATCGAGATCGAGATCCTTGGCGGATCGCTTCCCCTTGTCCGATTTGGCGAGCTCTGGCTCCGTCCTGCGCTTCCTGCCGGTTCTCGCTTTGCCGGAGAACATAGTTTTGGTTCGCAGGAATAATCTCTGAAGCTTCTGCGATTGGGATTTGGAGAGAAAGTGGTTTTCGAAAGTCGACCAAGCGGGTTTGAGCTTCTGAAAGGCGGTTTTGGAAATTGGCTCTCGAGCTCTCTTCGCAGGTTTGGCTTGAGGAAGGGGATATTTCTGGCCTTCGCGCGCACTTAAATTTGAAATTTCGCTGTCGTTTAAGCCTTTTTTTAGGTAGGCTGTCGTTTAAGCTTAAAACGACATCAATCAGCAAAAAAAAAAAAGCTTAAAACGACATCTTCTAGTTCAGAGATTTTTTTCTTTTGTTTCAGACTATTAATGCCCCTTAAAAGTTTTGCCAGCCTGGCATTTTTTCGCCATGAATTATTTTATTAGCTCTAAGTATTCTTTATTAGGCTTTTTATCCCGAAATTATTTTATTAGGCACTAAGGTCAGTGTATTAGTGTTTACTGGCACTTTGCCTCCGATTTAAAAATTATTCAAATAAGGAATCTTTAATTTAAATGACATGCACCGAGAAAGTTTAAGGATTACAACACATGGTCTTTTTTGAAAGATATATTTCATAAATAGTTGAAGTTTTACAAAATTGCAAAATCACCGCTTTTCTGTCAAGCACTAATTGACTCAACTGTGTTGATTTAGCGATCATGATTCATGGTTAACTCTAGTTTATCAATGATTAACTCGATTATTCTTTATTATTAATAAACATTAGTTAATAATTAATAAAAATCAATTAGTAACTAATCAATTTCAATCAATAAATTACATGTTTATTAATAATAAATCATTGATAAATTAATAATGAATCGATCAATCGTGTGTCAATCACTAATTGACTGTAGGTCAATTACTAATTGACTGTAATCCATATGTCAATCATTCAGAATCATGATTCAAAATCATTTTCATTTTACGTGTATTTTTTGTGAGATAAAATACTGTAGAGAACCATAAATCGTGATTCAGAATCAGGAACGAATATACGAAACAAACGTTCTCGATTTACTCATGTGAACAAAACAATCATTTTCATAAAAAATAAAAAATAAAAGTTGTTAAAAAAGGCTACCCAGCATAATTTTCCCAAAAGTTTATTGATGGGGCAATGCCATATCATCACCTACTTCTGTTAATAATTCGAATTAAACCTCTTTTGTTAAGTTTATCAATATTCATGTATGTACTGAAATAAAGCCCTTCTTGTCGGTGTGCTGCACGAGGCTAAATTGGCATCGGTAGACACATGCCTTCTCTTGCCGACATGGCACTACCCAATCGATCAGTTAGCTTTCTTGGTGTTGATCGGTTTGTCTTTTCAAATTAACAATATTTTTAATTTGACCAATTTCTTAATCATGGGAAAATTCCCACTTAAAAAATAATTTAGGTCCTTAGTTGCCTAAAAAATAGGTATGGAGTAAAGTGCCAATAGATTACAATACATGATACTCAATGCTTAATAAAATTAATATGCGGGGTAAAGTGTAAATGAGCAAAAAATGAGGGGAACGATTGCAAATTATTCTTTTGTTTAATTCAAGGAAGCGCCATGTAGGTCATCTTTAAGCTATACAAAACGGATATGCTAATTGTTTTGTTCTAGTTCTCTGTCATTTGAATAAAATGAGGTATTTTGTAGATTAACACATTCCAAATTTGAAACAATTCTATGCAAACAACGTTTTTTTTTTTTTTCTTTTTCAGTTAATGAGTTTTAAAGTAGTGTAAAAATGTTCTGATCACCCATGCATCTAAATAAAACAATAAACAATACATAATTCTCGGACTCCATTAACCACCATGGCTCAAACCTTGATTGAACAACTAGACCAAGAGTTGAGGCGGGATGATTATGGTGGACGAGGGTTTGAGAATCTCAACCCTCAGGCAATTATCGTCACACCAAACTTAGCTTATAAATAAAAACGTTCGAGGCTTAGTGAACGTTTGATTCATGGATTCAGAATTATTTTCAATTTTACGTGTATTTTTTATGAGAGAAAATACTGTAACGAATCACGAACTATGATTCGAATCATGACACGAATCCACTAACCAAACGCACCCTTATTGTTTTATTGTCTTTTTAACCAACTTCTAAATCATTATTTCTACTCACGTTTTCCACATGTTTATTTGACTTTAAATATCCATAACAACACAGTCTCTTGTGCACAAAAATACAAGACCTAAATGTCTACAATCAAGTTTTTGAATCATAGAAATGGATATATAATATTGCACCTCGTTGCATAATGTGTGAACAAAAAGATAAAACCAACTGGGCGGTCAACACAAGACGATAACTATTGTAAACTAGTTGTCAATACTTTCAAAAAAATATAATAAAGGCTCAAATCAATGTTTCATGAACTCTAAACGGAATACGACCAAAGATTAAGGTTTTTTTTTTTTTTACATTTATATAATGTTCACATTATATTCAGCAATCATATATGATATTCTCATTTTTCATTTTTGAACAGGAATTATAAGATTCAAATTATCTTCGTCCAAGTCTACCGATAATTAATAGCTGTACTCTTTTATCTTATAGCAGCTATGTGTATATTACATTACGTCAAAAGATTAATCACGTGCCTAATTGAAACTTATAATTATAGGTTTAGTAACATAGTTATGACAAGAATATTTAAGAGTATTAGCATGTTGAATTTTGAACGTCCTGGATAATATTTAACCAGCAGAAGCTGTATAAAAATCTAACAGAAAAAATATTTTGAGATCCCGTATATCCCAAAAAAGTAAAGAAAATATAATATTTTGAAATGTCGTCAGTTGAACGTGTTTCAGACATAATGTCGTCCAAATTAATTAAACTATAGATGAGAAATGTTAGTGTTATTTTTTTTTGTCACTCTCTGTATTTATTATTTGACACGTGAATTTTGCTATCTCATTTTCTATTTAAATAATAATATATCATATAATGGATTCTACGTGTCAAACAGTAAATGCAAAAAAATGACAAAAAAAATTAAAAAATAGTAAAGTTAACATTTTTTAAGTATAGATATATAAATCTTCTTGCACACTGCTTCTTATAAATAAATAAATAAATAAATAAAAATGTGCATATGTTTTAAAGTCGTGATCAAGTTATTTTATCCTTTATTGATTTTGTTTTGCCTTTTTATTTTATTGTTTAGTTATTGTTTTTGCTTCTTTATGTTTTATACTCCTTTTCATTTTACTTTTATCCCAAATATTTTACATCTAAATTTTATATTCTAACTTTTGTTTTTAAGGAGAATAATCTCTTTCGTATATATATTCACTTAATTATTTTTTATAATCCTCTAAAATATGTTTTTGACAAATATAATCCTAAATACTTTTTTTTTTCTAATCGTTACATTGAAATAATTTTTCATTGATGTATCTTATTGAAACAACTTTTCTCAAATGTGCTTGTCTTTATTTATTTATTTATTTTACAGTTTTCTATTATATTTTTTCAAAATTAACGGTTATAAAATATTTACTTCACCTCAACGTCTTTCGATTGTAGCCCTCTCAAAATATAGTTTTCTTATACATATGTTTATAGTCTGTGCTTATGTAATATTCGACTAAAACACACGTTTTGATTGAAACATATATTTTGGTACGTCTATTTTTGTAAAATCATATATTTTTAAACATGAACAAACTAAATATTACGCGCTTTAAACTAGTAAATCAATAAATCCGTGAAAACTTTTATCAAAAGAGTTAATATTGAAATGAAATAAATTAAATGTTCATTAATCCATGATTCATGCCCCAAATCAACGAGTACACCAAGACAGGGTCAGAAGATCTGATTAATTATTGGGGTTTAGAATTCCGTTTATTTTTTTTGGTCCAATAATGATAGTCTTCGTCTAAATTAACGTCTAATGGAATAGTTGACCAAATTAAGGACCATAAGCTTGTATTCAATGAAGTTAGGTGGCCCTAATATATATATATATATATACATACTCTAAAATGTCTCTCTCTCTTATACATGTCATGTATTGCACTTAAGTAATTCTACTAATTGGCTATTAATTTCAGGAAAACATGCATCATGCCATTTTAATTGATACGCTTATGCAGAATTTTAATTGGCATGGTATAATGCTATATAGTGGTCGTCATAAAAAGAAACAAAAAGAGTTGGTTTTTTGTTTTCTAATATCGTTTAAAAGACTTTAAATTGGACAAATGAAGAATACATTTTTTTTTTGGGGTGCTTGGAGACAAGGAAAATTAAATATATATCTATATATATAGACATATATGAAAGCTAGGTTTTGCAGACTATATGTTGTGCCAGATTCTCATTAAATTTACAAGTTCTATTCTTCCAACTCAAAATAAAACGCATGCATTGGAAAATATAAGAAAAGATACGAGCACTATTACGAGGGGCTTTTAAATGGAGTGGAGGCTAGGGTATTTAACAAGAGACCTTTTCTCATTATAAGTAAGCTTACACTAGTACTTCTTACTATATATGTTTTTTTGTTTTTTTTTGCGGTTAATTCGTGTAACTGTCTTATACGTCACCAACTATAAACATGACTAATTTGAGTTTAAAATTCGAGTTTTGTTACAGTAAAAAGCTCTCAGAAACAGTCACATCTAATTTTTTTACTACAGTAAAAAGTACTCACATAAAATTACATCTCAACTCGAATTAAAAACTCGAATCAGCGAATTAAACGGGTCAAATTGCAAATCAGCGATCATTCATTATCACAAGTATGAAAACTACACGTGATATTTACAGAGTTTGGGCATGTCAAACATCACGTGGGCCTAATCGCGAATCATGTGGACCTAATATTTGACTTCGAAGAATGTGTTAGCACCAAATTACTGTATAATGCATGTGCTTACTTTCAAATTAGTCGGTCTCAGTTGAAATCAAATCTCTACCGAATTGCTCAAAAGAAAACTGATTTTAGACTCCGGGAAATCAATAATTGACATGACATGTAATCTGATTTCGCTAAAACATAGCAATATATATATATATATATATATTTATTTATTTATGTAGTAATCTGATTTCTTGCATGTGGTTGAGAGCAGTTGATATACATAGGTCTCGTTCATTACACCGATTTAA